CATAGGACAGACCTTAGGTGACATAAAAGGGGAGTTAACAGGCTATCTGGAACAGTTGGAGGGTTGGATAAAAGACCTGGTGTTAGAACTGGCCTTCCATACATTAGTTCAAACGGAGAGACTGAAAGTGGCTTTTTAGGAAGAGCCCTGAGCCTGAGAAGAGCTAGAGGCAATAGTCTTACCCAGTCAAGGTGAAGTTCCTGTGACATCTTAGTGAGAAGTTTTTAAAGCTCCACCTTTCCTGAGGATTGAGGACGGTATGCGATATGAAAATGCCAAGGAATGTTAAGAGCCTTAGCTAGTGTCTGAGAAATCTGAGAGGTGAACTCCAGGCCATTGTCAGACTGAAGAGAAGCAGGAACCCCAAACTGAGGAACAATTTCTCAGAGAAGGAGGTCTGCAACCGTCTGAGCCCGCTTATTAGAAACTGGGTATGCCTCTGGCCAATATGAAAACGAGTCCACCATCATGAGGAGATATTTAACTTTCCTGACGGTGGGCATACGGGTAAAATTGAGCTGCCAGTCAGTCCCTGGAAGGGAACCTCTAGCCTGGTGGGTGGGAAAAGGCTGACTCCTATACTTGGTATTGGGATCTGTTTTTTGGCAGATCTCACAAGAGGCAGTAATAGTTCTTAAGAACTGTAAGTCCTCAGAGGTGGGCTGCAGGTGAGCTTTTACAAATTGAGACAGAGCAAGATTATTAGGATGAAAGAGCTGGTTTAGATAGGAAAGTATTTGCCTAGTGTCAGGAGTTCCCTGTGAGGGTGTAAGCTGTACTGTATGGATTCCCTGTGGTGGGTGTGGTGAGACTTGGCCCTGGAGGGCTGCTGTCCTGGCTGCCTGGTCAGCCCAGTTGTTTCCCCTAGAGATGATAGAGCTATTGGTCTGATGAGAACAGCAGTGGACAATTCCTATAGCCTTGGGGAGGTAGGAAGCCTCCAGCATGGCCATTATTTGGCCTGAGTTAGATATGGATCCCCCTTTTGCTGTAAGAAGGCCACACTCCCTCCAAATAGCAGCATGGGACAGGAGGATATGAAAAGCATATTTGGGCATGTTGTGAATCTATCAAATGTACCTTTGATAAATTATTTTTCTAGAGATTAGGTTTGAAACACCAACAACAGTAACCTTCAGTCCTGTTCATTAAAGTTAGTTGGAGTGAACACCAGGCGTGGAGGTGCATGCCTTTACCCAGTACTCAGGAGCCAGAGGACAGCCTGGTCTACATAATGAGTTCCAGGCCACCAAGGGCTACATAGTAAGATCCTAGCTCAAAAACAGAACAAACAAACAAACAAACAAAAACCTTAGAAGGATCAAATGGAGGACTTCTAAAATGTTGGGTGGGCTAGGTAGAATCCAAACACATATAAATTTATATTGAAATTTTACTGTAGAGCTAGGTGTAGTGGTGAACTCCTTTAATTCCAGCACTCAGGAGGCAGTGGCAGGTACATCTCTGTGATTTTGAGGTCAGCCTGCTCTTCATAGTGAGTTCCAGGACAGCCTGAGCCACATAGTGAGACCCTGTCTTGAAAAAAAAAAAAGAAAGAAAAATTCTACTGCAGCATTAAGTGATTACCTGCCATGCTCAGAGTTAAACCTCAGAGCATTGAGGTATACAAACCAAACTAAGACCTGCCCAGGCATCTTGATAATTTTAAGAAATAATGCAGACCAGTGCGAAAATAAGTGATAAAAATGAAGCACAGAGAATGGGCTAAGTGTAAAATCCCCCAATTTTATGAAATTGTGTGAGAAACATATATTGGAATTAAGTTTCATCACATTTTAAATACAATGATATTATACCATATGGTATCTGTATTTAGGAAGGGGAGGAAAGATGTTTGGGGGGAGGAGACTGATCCAACTTACTAAGAATTCCTAATTTTAGTCTTTACTAAACATGATGGTTTAGTGAACACTTCCTTGCCAAAAAAATATATAAAACTAGAAGGAAATATCCTTATCTCCTTTTTCTCCAAGGAAGGAAAGATCTTATGACTTTTATCTTGTAGTTAAGAATATCTTGCTTTTAAAATATCAACTTTTGCATGTGGCTAGTCAAAAAATCATAAAGGTTTATTTCTTGGGTTTTGGTTTTTTCTTTTTAAACAGGATTTCATTATACAGCTTTGGCTATCCTGGAACTCACTATGTAGATCAGGCTGGGCCTAAAGTTGCTCACCATCATACCCTCCCCCAAATAATTTTTGACACAAAAATTTGAACGGGTGTAATTGTAATATACAAATGTTCAAGTACCTATGTAAATTCACAGAAGAAACACTTGAACCTTATAAGGGTCAATGTTCCTTTGATTAGTAAAATATGGTTTACATTTTGAGTTAAACACACACACACACACACACACCAGTCTTGTGAAAAATCAGACATAAAAGGTCATGTATCTTATGACTCCATTTTTGTGAAATGTTTAGATTTGGCAAATTAGAGCCAATATAAATAATCAAGATTTACAGTAAGCCAGGTGGTGGCAACACACACTTTTAATCCCAGCACCCAGAAGGCAGAGGCAGGTGGAATCCTGTGAGACTGAGGCTAGCCTGGTCTACATACCAAGTTTCAGGACAGCCAGGGCTACACAGAGAAACCCTGTCTCAAAAAACCAAACAAACAACCAAACAAACAGATAAACAGACAACCAAACAAAAAAAGATTTATAGGTGTCAGGAACTAGTTGGAGGAAGTGCAGAGAACTCAAATGACTGTTAACTGCTCCCAGACTTCTTAGAAAATGAAAAGATTCTACCATGTTTTCTGGTAACTGGAAAATAGCTTTGTGTACACAATGAAACCCACTGAATTAGAATTTAAAAAAACTGCACATGAACATTAAAAAAAAAACCCATAACTTGAAAAGTAGTATTTCTAGGGCTGGGGATGTAGCTCAGGTGAGAGTACTTACAAAGACCCTGGGTTCCATCCTCAGCACCATGCAAAGCAGCCACAGCATTACAGGCTTGTCATCCCAGCACTTGGGAGGTGGCAGCAGGAGGATCAGAAGTTCAAGGTCATCCTTAGCTACATAATGGATTAAAGGCTAACTTGGGGGACACCAGACCCTGTCTCAGAAAACTAAAAATTAAAAAAAGTAAATAGAGTGTATATATATATATGATTTAGAAAGAAATATTTTCTTTTCTTTTTTTTTTTTTTGAGACAGGGTTTCTCTGTGTAGCTTTGCGCTTTTCCTGGAACTCGCTTTGGAGACCA